AGTCTCCACTATTGCTGGTGGAATCCATACTGGTAGTATGGTACTTGTGGAAGATGAAGATGTGGAAGAGGAAGTCCCTGAAGAAGATCCTGCAGTTGAACCTGAGAAAGATGAAGAAATGTTTGATGAGAATGCAGGTGCTTTTCCTTCAGAAGGACTAAAGATGGAAGTGGACGAGGAGGAAGTCAAGGATGAGTCAGCACCACACTTTCTGTCAAGAGAGATAGGTGAGGACTCTGCTGCATCGCACTTACCATCAGGTGAGATGGATGCTAACCTTGATGATACTCCATGTCTGCCGAAATCTAAGAGAAGCCGCCTGAATAAGATTCCTGATCCTCATTTTCATGAAGAAGTTCAGGATGATGCGACTATGGAAGAGAAGCAGAAGGCGGTGGAGAAGATAAAAGAGGTCAGAGAGGATGATGGAGAGAAGAAATTGGAGGCTGAAATCCAAGAATCTTTTCCATCTGAAGTAGTTGCTGATAAAGATCCTGTGGATGCTAACAATACCTATGAGTTGCATACCTCACCTATTGGCTTTTATCAACTATGCTTCAGGGAAACTCACGCGAGATTGCTGAACCATGTTTGTTTCAGAAAAGGTGAGCTTTCCCATCCTCACTATCAGGCAAGGATCAACGAGGATGACTTTGTTCGGTCCATTCGAAAGGTCTGTCAAGTACCTCCACCTGATTGTTATGAACACGACTCAGAGCATGATTTGAAGAGGTTTTTCATCAATGATGATCGCATCAGTTATTTGGATGGCAAGTATCAGGTCGATCCAAAGGCCCTTGAAAGGGCAGAGCATGCTCGAGAAGAATTGGAGGATACGAAGAAGGAACTTAAGAAGGAACTGGAATCATATGGTCCCAAGGGACCCAGTTGGGACTTTGTCACCTTCTATGAAGAGCTGTGCAGAAGGTTCCTCAAGGGAAGAATAGAAGAACAATATGGAACCAACTTATTGGCCAGCTCAGAGTCCTTGACGTTTTTATCCTGGAACTATGGCAACATGGTTCGTGGTCAGAAGTACACCACACCAAGGTTTCTCCAAGGACTTGATAGTGCAATGAGGCCACGCAAACAGAGCGCCATGTCAACTCAATACGAGCAATTTGAGAACAACCTTTTCTTCAACATGCTCTTCTTTTTACGTGCACATGTTGTGATTCTCCAGGAAGCTCATCTCCTTGTTCCTGCCAAGGATTTTATTGAGCAGAAGAATTGGACAGTTTGTTTCAATGATTGGGAGAATCTTGCAGTGATGGCTAGATTGTCACCAGATGGCTATATCAAGGTCATTGCTGGACATGACCAAGACCTTGGTCACTGTCAACAGCGTGATGTAACTTGGGCTATCTATGAGATTTGTTTTGGAGAAACAAGGCCTCGTCAGGACTTCAAGGATGCAGACTTTGAATTTGAGGACTATGGTCCTAAGGAACAGCGTGTTCCACTTACACGAGCGAACATGCATACCATCAGAGTCTGTAAATTATCATGTTGATACACATCGTGCTGTGGATGCCCACCTACTGACAGGAGAACAGACAGCATTGATGCTTTATGAGTGTTTTGTCTATGAGGTGGACATCATTTCTGGTGATGCAAATAGTTTAGCCTACAGAATGTCTGGGTACAAAAGGCAGCCAATGGCTAACTATTATTACAGCACCATGCAGCATTGGATCCGCAGGTTTTCAGAAGCCCGTGTAAAAGCAGATCCTGGTATCAAGGCACCTATTCCCAGAACATTTTACAGTTCATCTTCACAAGTCCTCAAGCAGTGTGAAGTTTACTTTGACAAACTCTGGGAAGAATATTCTACTGTTGAAAAAGAAGAATACCAGGGATCACAGCTTGGAGATACATGTTTGTCTACCATTGTTGAATGGGGTCATTCAATGAGTGATAAGGAATATGAAAATTCCACAGTGAGCACGAAGGAGTTCATCTGTAATTTTTCAGAGAACTTTGCTATGATTGACACGGAGGTTATGTGCTCAAGGCCCTCTGACGAGGACAGTCATGGTCCAATGTTTATTTCACTCAGACCAGCTTCCTATTCATCTGGAGACAGAAGACAGTATCGCATGGGAGCAACTCTTCATGAGGCGAAATTGCGGAGGAAGGAGAGACAGAAAGAGAATAAAAGGAAAGGAAGGCCGCCAACTTCTGATCAAGCAGCTCCATCGACTGCAGCGGCATGAAACTCAGAGCGGAGGCTAACTTTTAATGATAGCTAGGAAGTGAAGATACTTCTGATCACAGTTGATACTTTGCTTCCAGGCTTGACTTTAAGTTGCCAGGCTGAAGTTTTAATGGATTCTGGTTTGCAACAAGGAGAAACTTTTTGTCAAAGAAGATACTCCTGCATTCCAGGTTTATACGCTTTAGCATGCAGATAAATACAGTTTACTAAACGGTTATTATCTGCAGGTAGGTATGGACAGTTTTTCAGAACTGATGATAACTACCACAGCCGCTCTTTTGAGGTGACCTCTAATGGACAACCATTCATGGTTGATGATTAAGTCATTTCATAAGTTTGCATCTGTAGTGCAAGTTTTGTACATACATTTGCCGGTGTCTCCTTCCTTTTTGTTTTTGGTGTCAATGAGAGCAAGAGTCCTTTTGATGCAGTGTATGGAAGCGGCCGAGACCACTTTTAGAGAAGAACAATCATCGGACCGAGAGTTGACGCTCCTTGCATTTTGCAAGGCATCTTAATTCGTTGCAATTTGTGCGGTCTTGAATTTTTAGTTCTTCGTTACGCGAGTGTCGTTTACTGCTTTTACAGGTCTCTGCGTAAGAAAGCCGCTTTCTTTTGAATTTAAGTTTCTTTGAAGCTCTGGCTATTTAAGGGCTATTGAGCGCCGGTACATGGTATCTTCGCCGGTGAACGATACAGTCTCCAGCCGAGATACATTGTCTTTGACTTTGTATTTGAGGTGAGTCAGCTATTGCTCCCTCACTGTATTTAGTATACCTAGAGATTACCTTTTCTAAAGTGTGAAATACACTGGAATTTGTAAGTACAGGGCACCGTGGTTTCCTTTTAAGCTTACTAGAGCTTGCTGGACTGTTTTAGCCTTGCGGTAGAAAAATAGTGTGCGACATACGCAATAGGCAGGAGTGGACATGAATTTTGCGCCTGCTGAAATGTAGAGGCCTACTTGTACAGGTTCCACTCCAGTGGCCTATCTAGTGTGTCCATGCTTGACTGCCATAAGGCTCAAGACGCTAAGAGGATAAGACTCTGCGCATACAAGACACGAGCGGTCTGCACCTCAACCGTGTACGCCCTAGTCACTCTTTCACCCCCTCCCCTCCACTCCCCTCCCCATCCCCTCCCCTCGCCAGCACTACTAGCATTCTGGACACACCGTCACACCACAAGGTGAATAAAGTGAAGTCATGCGCGTAGCAGTCACAGCAGTACGACGCTGGCCATGAGGTTGCGCAATACAGCACGAACCCTGCACAATGAGGTTGCGCAATGCGGCTTCGATGCTGCGCGTGTGCGCCCGGCAGCCTGACATAGCGCGTACTGCGTTCACAGACCATATTGCTCGACACCAACGACCACCCACCATAGCGTGACGTCCATCCCTGGCAGTACCGGCGGCTTCGACGCAACGCGTGCAGGCCTGTAATCCTGACACAGTGCGTGTAGCTGTGGGACCATAGCTGGTTAACATGCGAGCGTTTACGCATTGCGACTCTTACGCGCGCCTGTTTTCACACACCTTTACACAAACGAGCGTCGACGCAACGCAGCCTCTCTGCAGAGCCGGGTGGCGCAATCTGATCGCAACGGTGTTCCTTTTGAGCCTTCTTGTGCTCTTTGGCTTTGTTGGTTTCATCCATGATTGACCAAGGGGAAGGTTCCTGAAACACCGCAGGCAGTCCCTCACCAGAAAAGGTCCCGACAGCTACCCGGTCCGTCTCTACCTTTCATGTTTCCCCTAAGGAGCCCTGGCGGCGCATTGGTCTAAAAGTTCCCCACCACCGGCCCCCCCCCTCCCCTGTAAAGTGAAATGAAAGAATCTATTCGACTCCTCCCTCGTCCTTGTGAGAAAACATACCAAATGCCTAGAAAGGACAATTTGAAAGTCGAGGTTATTTTAAGTGTTTGGTTGACTCAGCCAACAACACTTTGCGCTCGTGGCACAAAAGCGTTGCGTTGCTGCCCTCCCTCCGCGTCCCCTTGATCCTTCCACACCCCTCGCTTTCGTCCCCACTGTCCTCAAGTTTCATTCTTTTTTGGTTGGATACAATCCCAGTGCTTTGGACTCGGATGGTGTCTTTCGGTGTTCTGTGTGGTGAATTCGGTCTTTTGTTTTGCCCGTCGTGCACCTGTGCAGCGAGCAACATCCATGCAAAAAGAGCCTAGGTCCTGCAAAAGTTGTACTTGGAAACAGAACCACGTACAGTAGAAACTTGGTGTCACAGTCTTTTTGGTTGAAAAACGTGCTAAATTGAGAAGACCATGAGCTTTGGGACAGAAGGCTTTGGATGCGCGGACGAAGACAGACCTTTACGACTGCGCAAACAAAAGCAGTCAACTGCAATTGGTTTGGTGTGTTCAACCGACTTGTTTAGGTTTGAAATCCGTGACCACATTTTGCCCTCTTGAGCTGCATGAATTTGGCCTGATGTGATTCAGAACGAGCAAGGCTCATGTTGCATGTCGCAGCTATTGACTTGTTTGCCATGGAGTGGGATGATAAATTTCTATCTTCAAAACTGAAGGTTTTGGTGTGTTGTTTATTCATATCGAGTTTCAAAGCAACTGCATGCAGCTCAATGCGTTCCGAAGTAAGTCAGCAGAAGGTCATACTTTGAGAAAACACTTTATGGTGCAGCCGGAAAATCGCAATAAACATCACTGGATACTTGTTGTGCACAGCGCACCGACAAGGTAAATAAACATTTGGCAAGTGCTCCAGGAGCATGCTTGCGCAGCAAATTTGTTTGGAAAGTTTGGACAAGCATTCCGGTGGGTTTAACCTTTTGCATCGTTCTCTTTCAATTTCTAAACATGGCCATGGCGGATGGCTCCGATTTGGCAGCAGACCTGAGGAAGAAACTCTTGTTTCAAAACAACATGGTTTGTTAGCTGTTAGCTTTGTGTTTAGAACATTCTCGTCCAGGAAGAGGGTCGAAATAATGGCAGACCACATTGCCAGGCCTGGGCAAATATATATATATATATATTTATGTATATTTATGTATTTATGTATATATGCAGCAATCACCGAACTTGATGCTGACAGGAATGGGGCGGACTTTGAAGCTACAGTCAAACAAAAAAATGCGAACAATCCGCAGCGCGACACCCAAAACGGAGTTTCGCCAGAATGACCAATGTGGACAAAGTGACCCTTTGACCCTTTGCCAAGGTTCGCTTTTTTGTATAACGGCGAGGGCTCTGTGTACTACCAGCAGGTGCTTCCCGAGTTTGAAATGATGATGCGTTTTCTCTGCTTTTTGTCAGGTATTGGCAAGACACCGGGGAGTTCAGGTGCCACTCCAAGCATTGTTCTGCATTTGCGAAGCGGATCTTTGGGTGTTGCAGTGCATGATGAATGATCAGGCAGCCAAAGCTCCGCCTCAGGACCCCTGGTTGCAAAGAAGAATCTGAAGGGACTGACATGGCCAAACCATATACAAATGATTTTTCGGGACTAATGCTGTACCAAGGTCAGTAGAAAGGAAAGAGAGGCAGCTTGAAAGATATGAATGGCACCTGAAACTTGGTATTTGTTTCTCCAATCCAGAAAACACATTTCAGGTCCAATGTTGAGCAGAAATTGGAAAGTTTTTGGGACCAAGAGTTGCCACATTGTAACCTGAAACCCAATGTTGCAGTTCAATAGGCCCAATAGGGACTGAAAGCCTAGGGCCTACTCAGTTTGTAAGGCCAATCCGCCAGCCGCAGCGAGTCTAGCAACGCTTCTTCGTAGTGGACAGGTGAGGATGGGCAGCTTCGTGTTTTTTTTTTCTTTTTCCATGCTGGTTTCTCAAGTAAGTATGGCCAGGTGAATCCGCCACCCCAGCCAAGCCCTGTCCTGCCAAAACCTCCACAACCGACTGTGGTGCAGCCGAGCCTTGTTCAGCCAAGACCGGCCCAGATGAGCCCCGGCCATCAAAGTCCCTACCAACAGAACTTGGGTGTTTCCCAGATGAACCAGGGCCAGATTGGAAGTCTCACAAACCTACTCCGGCAGGCAGGAATGGGGTCGTGTGCAAGAACATTTGTTTGCTTGCTCCTTTACGAAGGTTAAACACAAACAAGATGCTTGTTTTTCCAAGACAAGAGGAGGAAATAAAGAAAGAAGAAAGGTCGATTGTGGGTTAAGCAGATAGGAAAAAAAGAACAGGAACGAATAACAATTGATTGATGGAAAGGACAAGTATATAGACTCGGATAGACTGGCAAATTGGATCCTGCTGCTCAGGAGGTGAGACCATCAGGCTTTCAGGCTGGATACTATTTTTCTTATATATATAATATATATATATAGAGAGATTCCTTTCTGTCTTCATATTTTATTCTTCCTTTTTGTTCCGAATCTCTTTATTTGTTTGGACCTTTAGACCTTCCTTCTTGTCCTTCCTTTAGATCCCACGTTCAGGATGTGACAGTCTCATTTTGTCATTTATTCTTATTGATACAATTTTTGTCCTTTCTTAGACGTACATATATATATATATATATCACAAAACACCACCCTCCTGGGTATCCCTGGGGAACAAGGGGGCTTTTTCCACGCGGACTCGAGAGTCAAGAAATGCCCTGCAGGAACGAAATGCACGAACGAACATGGAAGGCTGCAGACATGATGGTTTTGACACTCACTATAATCTAAGATTTTCTCTTCAAGAAAACTCATATTTTCGAACACTTGGAAGGCTTCCTCTGGCCTTCTCATATTGAGGGCTCAAGCTTGGCTCTACTTCGCCTTCTTATATTGGCGTTTCAAATCCGAGCCTGGAATCAAGGGACCATCGACGATCTGATTACCAGTGTCTTCATGATGCATGAGCAACAGGTACTGGGCTAGATCACGCATGGCCCCGTGCAGGGTAAAGGCATGGGCACGGCACCAGTGCTTATACGAAAGGGTGGATGGCTCCGTCACAGCCAACAGTTCAGCATATGACATATCCGCTCCTTTGAAGCGACCGGCCGAAATCAGAGTCTGACCCCAGGCCTCTACACTGGGGACCCCAGGTGGAAGACACACCATTTTGCTTGCTTCACTCGAATTTGCATTCGTCTCAGACATTCCACCCACGTTGGTGGAACACATTCATCCTTCTGCTGACATGGACCACGGCGGCATCACATCGGGAGACTTCAGATAGCCAGAGGGGGCTGTCTTGCCGGCACGATTGAATTCGGGTTCACCCGGGTTGGATTCCTCTCGCCTCTTGGATCCATTGGTCATGGCTCCCCATGGCAAGATCATTTCTTCTTCAACTAGGGCAAAGCCTTCATCACCTGCCATTTTCCCGGGATTGGATTCAGCAGCTTTGGCCATGAGCAAGCGCATCTGCTGGGCTTCTTCCGCATTCAATTGCATGGCTTCTACAGAACGTCACTCAGAATGCACGACGCGCTGGCGTGTACTCAGGCCAAACTCAAAAAATTGCAAGATGAATTTACAAAAACATGCATAAACAAGCGCAATCACTCACAAGGCAGAGTATCGGCTCGACTTCGATCTGTTACCCACGGCTGATTTGCCGACAAACACAGCTGTGCACTGTGAAGCTGGGTTTGGATCAAAAATACGAGAACTCTAACCAAAGCATTGTATCTCAAGTCAATAATTATGCGGAAGGTGGAAGGTCTTCCCTCAGTCGCAATTGTTGATGCCTTTGTCTCTCCTCAGCTTGTTGTTCTAAGATCAAATTCTCCGGAGAAATCTGGTAGCAAGCTGCACAGATGCAGGACCGTAGTAGGTCAGCCGGGTCTGCTTTATCTTTAGTCAAAGCATCAGCTACCATACGATCAGTGGGCAACCAACATGGCCTGGGTGGCTGAGGAATAATGACCACATCGATACTGGTCCTACGATCCTCGATGGAGGTTGGTGAAGATGGGCTGATGAGGTGATCATACAGGGACTTGCAATCTCTCATGAGAATTGGAGGTGTTGCGACTCTCTCGTCTCTCGTGGATGAAAACAACCATCTAGAGTCTCAGCTAGCAACAAACACATCCATTCCACGGTGCCTGAGGCAGCTGACATGGCTTGCGCTTCTCCACCCAGTGTGGAACTCACGGCCCGGCTGAGCTTATAGCTCTTCCACACAGCTGGCGTCCAGGATGACGCGTGACCCTCATTCAACAGGCGATCACAGAAAGCGATCGCGAAGCCTGCTTGAGTGTGCGCTCCCACATTGGCGAACGCAGCGTCTGAGTGGCAACATATGGTCAACTGCTCTAGAGGAACCGGTGCAAAATATATGCACAGATCTTTGTGTTGTTTGGCTCTACGAATGGCGTTGTTCGCATCTCTTAGATGTCGTATGGTGGGCTGTGGAAAACACTGCTGACTCAAACTGGTCTGAACCGCCAGATCAGGTCTGGATTGAGATGACAACCAATTGAGGCTTCCATTTATTCCCCTGAGCAAACGGACCTGGGAGTCTGAAAGAGGTGTTTGGTTTCCTATTCCTTTAGCTATCGAGGCACTCTTCATGGAGTCTGCAAACTGTCTTTGAGACATGGAAATACCTTTGGTGCGTGGGTCCTGTTGGTAAGATGCACCGCAGAATTCTCCACTTTCTGTAGGGGAACCTGGCTTTCAGCTTACGAACTGCTTCTTCGAAAAGGGGACCGGCACCTCCCACGGCAGTATCGTCCACATGTACTCCCATGATGCCACATAGCGACCCTGACTTTTCATCGCGTAAGGTCAAACTTGGATTTGCACCACCTGGCATTCTGGGCTTCACGATCAAAGGTGCAATACCAGGCGCTGGGGGCATCATATTTACCATACACATTCCCTATGACCTCAATCACTGCATCGTTTGGGATACCAGGGGTGCCTCCTCGTGGCATCGAGGCGAACAGTGGGCGGAATTTGGCCGGCAATTCGCCTGCCTCCATGAAAGCGCCTTTGATATCGCCAAGTTGCAATGTCCAGCCAAAAGAGGCTAGAACCTGCATGACTACAATTCGGCCCATTTGTGACAAGGTGGGTGACTGTAACAAACCCTCGGAGGCCTTGATGTCTAGGTCAGGATCTAGATGTCCTTGCAAACACCAACGACTTTTGACACGGTATGTGGACGGATCGAAATGATCGACGGGCGCACCTTGTTCTGCTGCTTTCTTGATGATCACGAACCGGGATCCGATCTATCTGGGAACCTCCTTTTGTGCTCTTGAGCTTTCTTGCCGAGATGAACTCTTACTGCCGTCTTCTCCACAAGAGTACCCCATTCGGTTCCTTTAGACTCGTCCACGAGCACTTGCAATTCCGAGGGTTCCCGGTAGGTGGAATGTCTTTAGACAACTTCTTTTGGATATGTGCGGCTATGAGTACTTGAATGTCTTGATTCCAAGCTTCCTCAACTTCTTCTACGGACAAGACCTCGGAGTCTACGTTTCGAGGCCGATGGGCTGGTGGCTCATCTCGAGACATGTCAGGCTCTTCACGATCTCTTTTGGCTCCGGCGCTCGATGATGCAGAAGCTGTCAGGTCCATGGAGGAGTTTTGTTCTTCTAAGGCTTTGTCAATCAACGATGGCATGACTTCTTGCATGAGCTCCGAAAAGTCATCAGCTTGCATCTGAGGAGGCCGGAATAATAGTGACATCGACTGCGACTTGGCTGGAGCCCGTCGGCGTACAGGTCCATATGAGCTGTCTTTGTCCGGTACATATGGCAGTGACTTAGGATTGACATATGGCTCATTTCCAACTCGAATATCGGCCGGAAGGACAGGCGGAGAGACAGCTTGTGCGGTGGTCCCTTCGCCAACATTGGGTAGAGATTTGCTGACTGCTGGAGGGGCAGGTTGTGCCTCCAGCACAGATCTGTTCAGATCTGGTTCGGTCTCCGGAGGACGTCCCGTTGGATCTGGCACTGCTTCACCTACAGGTGGATAGATGGACGGAACCAAGTCATGTACTGCTTTGCTTACTCTTCAAAGTACCTCCCTCGATCAGATCCTTGATACCCAAAAGTTCCGCTTCCGGTGGCTCAATCAAGGTGCGTTCTTCGCAATTGCTCTGCCGCGCAACGGAAAATCTGTCGTCGATGGGCGATGATGACATTTCTCCCTACCATACCTATCACGACAGCTGTTCCATGCCAACGACCCCTTTGCTGAACGGTACCTTGTATGACCTTTTGTTGTCTCCAATATGCTACTAGTTCGCCTGCTTTGGACTCGGTCACAGATCTGGGCCTGCGAGTGCTGCGCGGGCAGCTTTATCGTCTTGCAAGGCTACGACCGCTAACCGAGCAGAGCGACGCAACGCGTGTGCCCGAGCGATGGCATCCTCTTCCAGTCCGGCAGTGGCAGGGGCAATGTGCAGAGGTTCGGACACAAGGTCACCAGGAATTGTTGGGTTCTTCCCATAGGACTGAATGGACTGGTTCTTCACATGAGCATGCTGTACACATTCCAGCCATTCATCTTTCGTAGAGGGACTGTGTTCATCAATCATCTTGACCTTGAGGAGAACGCGACGAAACCAACCTCCGTGGTTCTCAGTTCGACCTAGTTGCCAGTACGCTTCGGCAGCTATAATTTTGCAGTGTGTACCATACCCTTCGAGACTGGATTGGAAGTTCTCGCCCAACATGGTTTGAGCTGGGTCTACCACCGCCTGTTCCGGAGGACCTGCCCAACGAACCCAAGCGTCAGTGAGCAGCTTACTCAACAAGGCAGAGGTTTCTTGCTTGAAGAAGGGAATCATTTGCTGAAAACAGGAACTCTGATCTACGATGTTCAGGGCTTTGATCTTTTGATTGGGGAGCCATCCGGGTAGAAACTTCACATCTAAACCTACCAGCTGGTTGAACTGCGTGACGCGACCGGACTGGGCAGGTAATGGCACGTGAGGCTTCATGTGTGCTTGACAAAAATCACATGTCAGGTCCTTTGCCATAGTCAAGGCTTTGGTTGAAGCATGTCCGTGTCGGAGGATGCGCACTAGATCAGCATTGGAGGGGTGACCTAAGTCTTGTTTTTGTGCAACTTCCGCAGAGCACTCAACACACGGGCTTCATCGACTTCTTCCTTGACTATGTCCTCACGCTGAGCTGCCAAGCATTCTTCGGCAGCCACAATCAACAGTTCATCGTGACATTGCGCTAGGGAGGCCTCCCATGCTTTAACAAAGGCGGGAATCGTTTGCAATGCGTGCTCTACAAACGCCGGAGGGTATTGTCCTGCGAATTTGCTTACCGACCCTACACCGCTATGAGAACTTGCTATGACATCATGGCACACAT